GATCCAGTCTGACAGATTTTTCCAAAACCAAATCAAACTTGATTAGAAGGGTCCCTGAGGAGAAAGCAAATGTCTAACTGGATGATCATTAGGAACTCTATTGTATGCAGATCAAACAGATACAAATCAAGTCTGTCAAACATGGAATCAAATAAAATAAATGTAATAAACACATATTTGGGACTGGGGTATTTTTATTTTCTCTCTTAAAATTTATGTTTGAAAAGCAAACACCAACAATGACAATAAACTGGCTACAGAAAGTTGCTCGGGTTCTCTAATAGTCAGATTGAACATACTAAGTAGGAAATCACAATCTTAGTGCTTTTGTTAGCATATGTGAGAATCTGGTAGAGTTTAAACATTCCCCAAGCATATATATCAAGTTGCCTATAATAAGATCTTTGGCTTATTATATAAGATCTTTTCTTCTAATGTAGAACATTAAGACTAAGAGTTTGAAGAAAAATGGAGGTAAAGTCTCTCAAATGGAAAAACACTGTATTCTACAATGACTACACCGATTGCTAGCAGAAAGTTACAAAAACCCAGCACATTCTACAAAGTTTAAATCAAAATGCAGTTGCGGGGAGGGGCAGAAAATGAAGTGGCAGTAAGTGTTCAGTCATTGGTCTCCAGGACCTAGGTCTTTGCAGGCTGTTGAATGGTTCACTGGGTCTCCTGCTGTAGCACTGTTTGGCAAGGAAAAATGCCACTTTACAGCTTCAAAAGAAAAGAGAACCAAGCTATTCCAAGGGCTGTGTGTTTGTGCATGTGTGTGCAGGGGGCCCTTCAGAGATGACTATAAATTCTCATCATTAAGTCATGGCAGAATTGAGCCTGGTCATTCTGATGGTGAAGTGGTGGAGACATTAAGCAAGCCACGGAGAACGCATCACTGCTTCATTAAAATAAAAGGCCTTTTTTGAAGCCTTAAAAAAATGCATAAAAAAGTTTTACCTGCTACTATCTTCTGTATCCTGTTCATAATTCACCTATAATTACATGTATGGGGACAGGGATTAGGGAAGCAATTCGGCTTCTTCCTTTGAGGTTTTTCGAGTGTTTGTTGTCTCTTTTCTCCTTGGGTCTGAGTAGGAAGGGGCACTGGAAGTTGGTCTGGTCTTAAATAGTGTCTGAGGAATAGCAGGCTTCCCAAAATGCTCTTACAGTTTCTCCTGAAATCCTCCTAATGGCAGAATAAGCATCATCACAAGGTTGACAACAATAATCTAAAACATCTATTTTTGTTTACTTAAAATCTGACATCCTATGATGACTATCTTAGTTTTGTTTTGTGTGCATTAAAAAAAGGTTATGAAAACCCTACAATGATAATCTTTTCAAGTACCTGAAAATAGCTACCCTGTCCCTTCCAAATCCTATGTCTCATTTGTCATGAGAATGTTTTCAGATCATTCACAATCCTGAAATTCTCTCCTGAACAAGCCACAGTCAGAGTTCAAGGTTCTTATCATCATTATAAAACAGCTCTTATATACTAGGAACATACTATAACACAGAAAGTATAAAATAAATTATTTGCTTTAATAATCTTCTCAATAATATATTTTTAAGGCAAGTGTTTTTGCTTATTGAGTGAACTCTTTGTCCATTTTCTGTTGCTATAACAAAACAGCAGAGACTGGGTAATTCAAAAAAATCTAAGTTTTTTGAGCTCACAGTTTTGAAGGTGATGGCATCCATAAACATGGCACCAGCATCTGGTGAGGGCCATCTAACTCCATTGTAACATGGCAGAGGGCATCATATGGCAAGGCAGAACAAATGTACTAGCTGGGGTCACTTTCTTCTACAACCAATAATGCCATCATGGGCCACCTCCAACCCCATGATCTCATCTAATCTCAGTTATTTTCCAAAGGTGTCAACTCCAAATGCCATCAATATATGAATGTGGGGAACTTCTGGGGGACACATTTAAGCCATGGCAGGAATCAAAGTTTGAAAAATTTAGAAAGTTTCTCAAAATTGCATGAGTTAAAAGAGGCAAGGCTATTAGCTCACCCTCGTCTGAAGGCTTTGGAGCATTTCTAACATGTCTACAAAACACAGTCCTAGAGAGGGCAATGATCCAGCTGAAGGAACCAACAGCTCACCACCTTCTACAAAATAAATATTATACTTCCACAGAAGCGGCCTTTGATAACAGAAGGAGTCTTAACAGCTACACCACCCTGTTGAGTTCACATTGAGTTTGCTAATCAACTTAAGCCCAAAGAAGACTTTTACCCAAACTCTTACTAAAACTGATGGCCATTTCCACCAAACAAAAGATCAAGGGATTTGCACTTGATCCCTTCTAATAGATGAAGTTTTACCTCCAATCCAGCTTTGCCTTACAAGAAAACTGGATTCTGACACTTGGGGGCATTCATTAGCCTCTTCAAGCTCTTCATCACTTAAAAAAATAAAAATAAAAAATTTAAAAACTCTGTTCTGTGTTTCTGTACCTTCTTCCAAGTCTTTGAGAAAAACTCCACTCAGAGAAGAGCAAAGGCCAAAGGACATCCCCCGGGGACAATGCTTTTCATTCTCTGTTTACCTATGATGTCCTGTGTGTATCTCACCATCTAAGCTTTACTTTCCATAATTTAAGTCAAACAAGAGGTGTTTTCAGTACGCCTTTTCAACTAGCATCTCACTGCCACCTTGAGAAGTACACACTGATGATCCACAATTCACTTTTCTTATTCAATTAATCCACAACAAATAAATGCACTGAACTTTACCATATTCGTGTCCCTCCATCTTCACCACAATGATGTTAGTAGTAAACATATTTTTTTCTATATTCTGCTTGGTATGATGATGTGAGGGAAAAATAAATAAATAAATTAATTAATTAATTTTAAAAAATTTTAAAAAATGTGGGTCACAATAGATTGGGTAGAGAGAAGTGATGGGAGGGGAGGGAAGGAGAAGGGGGGATAGGAAGGACAGCAGAACAAAATAGACATTATTATTGCTGTGGGTATATATGTGACTGCATGACCAATGTAATTATGCAACCTATACACTCAGAAAAATGAGAAATTGTATCCCATCTGATTCAAATGTATGATATGTCAAGATCATTGTACTGTCATGTATAACTAATTAAAACAAATAAAAAATAAGAAGAAATAGAGAAATAAAGAGATTTTCAGACAACAAAAAAAAGAAAATATTCTGCTTGCAAATTTTTATATCCTAGAAAAAGTTACTCTTACAAATTTGTCAAATGCATAAAATATTTTATGATAAAGGGAAAGAATTGACCCAACTTTGCTATGCTACTCAAAATGCTCACACAGTGACTTTAAAAGTAACAATGAATTCTATCCAAATTAATTACAAAAGAAAAATCCTGTGCCCAAAATCACAGTGATTAGCTATAATGAATTGGAAGGCATATATAAAGTAAATTTGACGACCTTTCTCAAGGTTACCAAGTCCTTTAACCTTCACAGTAAAACCCAACTACAAGTACATTATTGGTATCTCCCCATTTTTACAATTATATCTGAATCAAAAATTGGACACTTTGGTCTAAGAAATTAACCAAAAGCAGAGGCAACAAAATATAAGCAATGGATCTGTGCATGACGAACCTTATTGCATCCTTGGAACCTCCTGAAGTAGCCCACTAATGTTTGTGAAGCTAAAGAATGATTGAATTTTTTTTTTACAAACCAGTATATGACTAAATAATTTTGATGTGAGAATTATTTTTCTTAAATTTTCTTCTATGTTCCTACAGTTTTTCTTAATTTTTTTCTGTGTTCCTCCAATCTGTAATCATTTAGTAACCCACCCTCAACCCTACCCTAAATGATACTATTGGTATAAAATGAATTTTATCTTGCAAGAAAAGCACTGGCTCCGTGGGTCATATATATATATATATATATATGAGAGAGAGAGAGAGAGAGAGAGAGAGAGAGAGAAAGAGAATGATAAGGGGGTTGTAATATGGAGGAAGGAGAGATAATGACTGGGGAACATGAAGAATTAGTTTGATACTGGCCATCAGAGGAGGAAAGAGAAATAGAAACCTGTGACCATACACACGGGCAGTGCCTGTGGGGACTGAGATGGGTAGACTGTGAAAGCTTCAGGGGAGGGACTGGCTTGGAAGAACACAGAATGCCCCCTTCCTGGATGAAAAGGGCAGAGGCTGGGGGCAGGAAGAATAAGCTCTTTAAATGAAGATACTGAACCTGAAATTGAATCACCTTACATAAGAGCAAGCCACTGGTTGGTGCATGCAGGGACCTACTCTAATAACTTGAGTTCATGCCCTGAGTATCACACTGTGATACTCAGAGAAGTAAACACTCATCCATCTCCATAGCTACTGACAGGCTGCGTTGTTCTCATCTGCTAACTTGGTCTTACAAAATATCTCTAACCAAGTCATTTAACTGCCCCTTCTCCAAAAGGAATTTTACTTCTCTTTACAGAAAAGAATGAAGAGGAATATACTCTCTTATACCAAGATCAATGTTCCCCACCATAAGCATATTAAAAATTACTATTCCCTGAGCAAGAAAAGGACATGAATATTTAAAATTCTCTCTCTATTGCTATGTACAGAATTTTAAGTTTCTGCTAAGTAATAAGTGACTTGGCCATAAATTATGCAAATAAAAAGGTAAACTTCACTTAAATAACAGGATATAATTTAAAAATCTAATTTTTAAGCTTCTAATTTTTTTTGGATCCTATCTTGGCAAGTGTTGGGAGAATCCATCTTTTTAATTTTTTTAAAAAAATATGTATAAGATCATGTTTTACTTTTAATTTTAAGATTTTGGGACACCATACATATTTTGAATAATTTGGTTCCCTGTTAGAGTCAGAAATAATTTTGTATTTATAGATCAGTTGTAATTTTCCAGAGTTCTAGAAAAATAAAGAGGTGGCTTGTGTGTTTTATACCAATATTCCCCAGCTTTCGCCATCTAGGACACCAGAGTTTTAAAATACGTACTTACCTCCACATCACAGGAATATTCTGACCCGTCTAGAAGTATCACTTTGCACTGCATGCTTTTAGGTTTTTTGACAATCTTTAATGGAGACCGAGAGAGTTTACTGCTATATGACTTCTGAGAAAGTTTATCTTCTTCAAATTGCTGATACTCAAGCTGTTTTGCAGCTGCGGCAGCAAACTCCTGTTCCTTGTCAGTGACCTGTGAAGAGCAAACAATGAAGAGTTTTCATTGCAAGGCAGGAAATAAATATTGCATTGCTCGGGCAATGGCACAACTCTTTTGGGAAAGAGGCTGCTTTCCCCTATTCTAGAGGAGGAGAAGGATCTGAAATAAAGTATCAGGAGTGATATATACACACACAGGTATTTATAATGCTCAGTTTCACCTAAACAACTTTTGCCATTTTAATGCACTGATGAGTCCTTATATCAGTTTGACTCCAGGATTTAATTTAGAAGCAAGCTGAGTTAGAAATGCCATCAAGATTTTACTAAGCAAAAAAGGAGAAATTCACTCTTGACTTTTCAAAAAAGGCATCAAATCAGACAGATCTCTAATCATCTAGATTTTATCTTATCTACTCCATTTTTCAAAATTCACTTGATACTTGCATATTCCTTGACCTTTTTCTCTGTTCCATCCATAGATTTACAAGGACTCTTATAAACGACAAGGCTTAAGAGAGCTTCTAGTATTAATCTTTTCAGTAATTTTATAACTGTTAAAATATTTGATTTAGCTCTAAATCAATTCGATGAAGTCAGCAGCACTGAGATTCATCACAAAGTAATCCCTTAAGTCTGCTTCTTTTCATTGTAATGAGTCTGTATGAGAACAGATCAAAACTGTCCAAAAGCTTTAATCTGCTTCTGAATGACCAACAGGCTAGTCCAGGCCAGACTCTGCAGTGGACACCCCACGAGGCACAGAAATTCTCCGAGTCAATTCCCTTGACATCTCTGTGCACGGCTCTCTTACAACTCTCTTTGGTTAAGTGACCACCAGTGGTGGTAGGACAAATTCAATCTATAGCCAGACTATCATTTCCACCAGCCTAAAAATATGCACCAGCAGTCCTCACAAAGATACACACTAATATTCTGTTCAGGCTCCTTGAAATAAGTGTGAAATTTTCTCTCACAGGAGTATACTATTAGCTTGGTGCTAAAAGTACGTGGGCTCTTGAGTAAAGACAGTATGGACAGTTTATCATTTCAGCTTTTTTTTTTTTCCCATTGGCTTCTACAATTTTATAACCACAATGTCATTCTAGGTATATTTATTTTGGATTTTAGGTATGGATTTCTGCATTTTCTACCTTGTTTTCGATCTAGAAGACTGCTAATACAGTCCTTTCTTCTAACACCATGCCTAGGAACTCTAAGTCTTGTGAAGTTATTAAGAATAGAAAGAGAACAGTCTGTTGAGCTTATAAAAATAAGCCAAGAAAAACAAATTGAGTAACCATTACCACAAGTTAGAATAGTTGAGAAGGCTGAAACAGGAGGATCATGAGTTCAAAGCCAGCCTCAGCAAAAGCAAGGCACTAAGCAACTCAGTGAGACCCTGTCTCTCTAAATAAAATACGAAATAGGGCTGGGGATGTGGCTCAGTGGTGAAGTGCCCCTGAGTTCAATCCCTGGTACCTAAAAAAAAAAAAAAAAAAAATTGTTGAGAAGGCAAGCTCCAGCTCAAATAGGTTAGTAACTACAGAAACCTTTCTCTGGCCATCTGCTCCAACTTTTTTGACCATTATCCTTCATCTGCTCCAACTTTTTTGACCATTATCCTTTTCCTATCATTGCATTAAAAATTTAAAAAGTATAAGAAATCCATAAAACTGTCATTAATATTGGCTTTGAGGTAGTTTAAGGAGAAGTTTGATAACCCTAGAATTGTTTATCAACAACCACACTTCATTTTGTGAGATGCTCTATAATTTATACAAGGCTTTTTGCATGTTTAATTAACATTTCATCTCATCACAAGCAAGGTCAATTGAAGCTACGTTTTTATTTAATTTTATCTGGAATCAACTTTTTCTATGTATTGGAAATGACAAATGTTTCCTCTACAAAAATAACAATGTCTGTATCTGAGAATAAAGTTTCTGTGGTATTGAATTGTCAACTCCACAGCATCTTAAACCATCACTCAGAGGGCAGGTCTCATTTCTGGGAACACTTGAAAGATGAATCTACATCTGAGGCTCTTACAGCACATTTTACAAACAACTTTAACAGCTCTAGAAGAGCAGACCAAGTACCTCAAATGAAATGTCAATCGCAGTCACACAATGCATTGGAATTTAAAAATATCAGTATCAACCACTTTAGTAAATCCTGTATTTTATTCAATCCTCAATAGCAGCTCTAAAATGGAGCTATTATCACCCTCACTTGCAGAGGAGGAAAGACAGAACCAGGGAACCTTTTCAAGGTTAGAAAAATTAGAAAACTGGAATTCAAATTCTGCCAAACCCATATTTAATCATCACTATATACCAAAATATGCCTTTCTCCAATTACCTGCGACATAATTGGCTTCCTCTATTATGGAGCAAAGAACTTTATGGAAGAGTTTTAGACAAGACTATTTCTGAGAGCTTCATTTTGTAGACAAACATTGTGAAGCCTGAGGGCCTGAAGAGTCCTTTGAGGCTAGTAATAATAAGGAGATAAGACCAAGGTCTCTGCCCTGTTCAGCCAGGTATTGCCCCTCCCCCTCTTTTATATCACTTCTCTTTCTTAGCTTCAAGCATCTGACTACAGAATGTAGAAGTACAGTCTCGTACCACATAACAACATTTTGGCCAACAATGGACTGACTGCACATGATGGTGGTCCTGTTAAGATTACAATGGAACTGAAAAATTCCTATTGCCTGGTGACATCACAGCCATTGTAATGTCATAGTGAAATGCACTGCTCACACATCTGTGGTGTGCTGGTGCAAACAATCTTCCTGCGCTGGTAGTCATATAAAAGTATAGCATATGCATAATACTCAACAATGATAACAAATGACTATATTATGGGCTTATGTGTTCCCCGTATTGTATGTTTTAAGGTTACTTTAGACTGTACTCCTTCTACTTCTAAATAACAAGTCTGTTCCCAGCTTGGTGATACATACCTACAATCCAAGAAATATGGGAGACTGAGATAGGAGAATTGCAAGTTCAAGGCTAGCTGTGGCAATTTAGAAAGACCCTGTTTCAAAATAAAATAAAAAGGGGTGGGAAGTAGCTCAGTAGAACAGCACCCCTGAGTTCTATCCCCAGTATTGCAAATAAAACAGAACAAAGATCAAGTTTGTTATAAAAACAGAATGCTGTGTTAGGACAGTAGTGGTCTCGCTGAGCTCATGTTTGCCATGCTTTTTTATTTTATCATTTTCTCTTGTGCTTCATTTCATCTCATATAGTTCTGTTCATGATGGCACGAGGTGCCATAGGCCACACACACAGGGGTGTGTGTGTGTGTGTGTGTGTGTGTGTATACACACACACACACACGTACATGTATATATAGCCATATGTATGGCTATATTTACACATACAGTACATATATATACATAAAACCCTGCATTTACACAATCTGAATGGTACAGCCCGCTACCACCTAGGTTGTGTAAGTGCACTCTACGATGTTGACATGGTGATGAAATGACCTAATGACGCATTTCTCAGTATGTGTCCTGTCCATGAGGAACACATGACTGTGTATTAAGTCATGTCTAGGCACAGAGACTCATCCTTTTCTAGAATTATCTCCCATTTTCATGTTTCATTTCAGAACTAACAGGAAAAAATGAAAAAAGGCAAATAGCCTAATAATTTAAAATTTTTGAAGATTAAAAGAAACCAAACAAATATTTAAAAAAAAAAAAAGAAAACGAAAACATAAAGAAAACCATGATGCCAACAGCAGCAGCTCCTTAGATTTTATATGCAGGGCTGGGATGGCATCCCCAGCACTCAGCACAAAACCTCCTGGACCAAATAGAACAACTACTCATAAACTGAAAGTACATGTTATTATTAATTCTATTTAAAAGAAGACTTGCAAAGGTAGGACAAGAAAAGAAAATAATCTGGTTGTAAACATAGAGCTTAAAATTATAATAGTAATGCTGTCATTTCCAGAGATTTTCACTGATAACACTGATTTCCCTCATCGTTTTCTAAAATTTCTAGCTCAACACAAATACTTGCAAACTAGAAGAAGCCAATCATTTGTAAGGACTCCAGATTTTGTACTAAATGCAAATTAGTACTCTAAAACATGTTGATTCCAATTCCAAAGTTTTAAGACAAAAGAAAGCCAGATTCATTGGAAACCTGGATATAAACCATAATTTGTCTTTGGTAATGCTGGGGGGATAGAAGTCGGGGCTTCCAGGGCCTCTTGCATTCTAAGCATGTGCTTTACCACTGAGTCATAGCCCCAGCCTCTAGAATAAAATCTTGTTTTAAAAAATACATTATTCATGCCAACTCAAACATGTGTAGGCACAGAGTTGATAATATAGATGTATACAGGGGAGGAAAAGAGACCTATGTGAACATCAGCTAAAAATAGGGGGAAAAAAAACCAAAACAGTTCTAACCCTTAGACTTGAAATTAAAAAACATCACCAGCATAATTAAAGCTGCCAGTTTTCTGTCCACACTTCTTATAAATCCAGATAGGAACAACTGAACAATAATTTCTCCAAATCCAGATTTCAGTGTGAGTTTAAGTGTTTTAATTTAAGGAAGGAGTCACCAAGCAGGCTTGGGGAATGGCACTGACTGACAGCCTTAAAATAGCATACATTTTCATCTGCCTGGAACCACCAGGCCAAAGCAGACGACCCCTCGTAGCTGCCTCTGGTGCTAAGAAACGAAGGTGAAAGTCGAGCCTGGAGAAGCTCAGCAAACAGCCCTTAATTGCTTTTCTGGCCTTTGCCAGCGGCCTCACCTCCCTCCGCACCGGGGTGCTGTGCGCCGCCGCAGCCTCAAACTGCTCCAGCGCCGGAGGCTCCTCAAGGCTGCCGCTCCCGCTCCCGCTCGGGGGCTCCGGAGGCCCGGGCTGAGCCCCCGCTTGCCCCTGTGCACCCGCTGCCTCCTGGGGCTCAGTCTCCTGGTCTGCCTTGGATTCAGAGTCTGATCCCGATTCGGTCGTCATGGTGGATTGTTCTGCAGAGACAAAAAAAAAAAAAAAAGGGAAGGTCCTGTGACTGGGTGCAAGCAAAGCAGGGTGCTAACCATGAAAGGCAGAGATACCCATACACAGGGAAGGAAGAGAGATTGCTTAACCAGGAGCAATTCTATTCCGCAGGCCCAAGAGAGGACTTCCCAGAGGTACTACAAAGAACTCCCAAGAGCTAAATTGTGGAACCAACCCAGATGCCCGAGTAAGCCAATCCCCAAAAACTAAATGTCAAATGTTTTCCTTGATAGGAGGATGCCGACTCATAATGCTGATGGGGGGGGGGGCAGGGGAGGAATGGAGGAACTTTAGATAGGGCAAAGGGGAGGGAGGGGATGGGAGGCGACATGTGGGTAGGAAAGACTGGAATGAGTTAGACCTCATTACCCTAAGGACATTCATGAAGACACAAATGGTGTGAAAATACTTTGTGTACAACCAGTGACTTCAAAAATTGTGCTCTATATGCGTAATCTGAATTGAATTGCATTCTGCCATCATATATAACAAATTAGGATAAATAATTTAATAAAAGAGAAAAAGATGAGCACCCAAGAGCTGCTCAAAAGGAACAGAGAACCAGGAGTGGAAGTTGATTTGTAATGATTACAGGTTTTCTTCCAGTAGCCTAATAAGGCTTCTGCCACAGATGATCACAAACAGACATTTCAAAAATGGCTAATAATTGAATAACAATTTCAGAAAAGTGAATTAGCTGAAATGAGGGAAGGATGATCTAGCAATGGTAGACATTCCCTCTCATTCTCATGTTTCTTCCCTCTTTTCTCTACACAGGGGTCATCCCCACCGCTGAATCTGTAGATTTTTCTAGGAACAAATGCCTTTCCCATGTGACTTCTCTTAATTCCGCTACCTTCTTTGGAAGTGGAAACTGCAATTACCATAGAGATTTCTTCAGGAGTGTAGCCTCAAACCAAGATCCTAATCCTAATAATACGTAGTATGACCTTCTGACATACAACCACCATCTTCTAATAGTTTGCTGTTCAAGTTTAGTATTTTGTGCTTCAGTTTCCACAGGTGCCAAATGAGACAAATGAACTCATTTACACCTGAAGAAGTGATTTTCTATTGTTATTTTTTTCTCCTAATAGACACACTACTGTGTTTTAAGGAAGATTTTTACTCTAAGCAGCAAGAAAGCTGCTATGCCAAGTATATATGACATTTTGTTTCTTAACTTATGAATGTGAGGTAAATACCTCAAAAATATATATCTCAGGTTGTGTAATAACTTCCCTTCCTAGTTCTAATTTTATGGTAAAAATATCCTGAGCAAAGGGCTAGTGTAATACCTTCAGTAAATGATATATTCACTGGCATAATATAGAATTATTGAAAATAAACTAGTAACTGTAGTAAAGCCCTATCTTCACAACACATTGGAATATGTTTACAAATTTGAAGAACATTGCAAAAAAAACCACTCAATGCTACATCTGCACTTTTTTTTTTTTTTATTATTCCTTTTCCCAATTCCCAGCTACACCTTCTGTTGAATAAAAGACATGTCAACTTGGCATGTGCTGAGCTGCCCAAAGCATATGTAAATACCAAGTCCACAGGCAGAGCAAGAAAATGATCCAAGCAAAACTAACATAGTCTCTTCTTTTTCTTCCTATATCACATTTTAGATTTTAGAGCAAATCTTGAAGGTAAACATTTGTATTTTTTTTTTTTTTTTGGTCCTCTTATCCTGGAAAGTGGGATGAGTACAGAGAGAGAACAGCTGAGGGAGACAAGGTATTCATCTGGAGGAATTCAGAGCCTACAACTGAATTCCCATCTTGGGAAGGGGGAGGATCAGACTTAATAGTCAACTGAACTCACCCAACAATTACTGAGTCCCAAATATAAGCCAAGTGTTGCCTGTGGTTTAGAAGCAGAGATTAAAATGTTATAACCCATCCCCTCTCTACCCCAAGGACTTCATCGTCTGAGGCAGAAATGGAGTGGCCTTTAGTAACTTCCTTTAGTAAGTAAGCATTTTGTTTTAGCTAGAATTCCTCCGCCTGCCGGTGATGAGCAGTGATCATGTGATTAAGTCTGGACAATGAAACAACAGGAAAAAAAAAAAAAACTTATTCAATATTCGTCTTCATAGAGACAAAGTCACTTGCTCCGGGGGACTCAATTGTCATTGACTAGAAAATGATGACAAATGTCATGGTCTCCTTAGACACAGCCATGGATGTGCCATGTTCAGGAGAATGTCAGAGTCACGCCACTTGTTTTGAGTTGTCACATGAAGCAGAAGTCAGCTTTTGCCTTGTGTGAACCTTAGTGTACTGGCCCATACCCCAATATGTGATGCATTCTATGAACGGCATTAATGCCCCTGTGGTTCTCACTCTCCCTTGATCTCACACCCCCCTCAGCTGCTACCAAGTTCCTCTTCTTCTCACTCCTGACTCAACCTAAAAGGAAAAAAAAAAAAAAAAAAAAAAGTTGCTGACCCTACTTGTCTTCCTCACTTCCTCTATTCTGGCTCCTACCCCACCCACTTCATTGAGGTGGCTCTTGTGGTCAAGGCAGCGGACCATGCGCTCTTCCCTGTTCTACCATCTGACCTCCGGGCAGCTCTGACCCAAGCAATGAACTCTCCTTGTCAACACACTTCCCTGTCTTGGGGATTCAGATAGCACCATTCTCCCTGCAGCCTCCTTCTGTCTGGCCTCTGTGTGGCCAAATTCCAGAGTATTCCATTCTGGGACCTCTGCTCTCTCATCACACCTTATCACACCTTCTTCCCAGCATGCCACACACTTTCCCAGGGTTTTAGATCCTTCCTGTATGTCAGAGGTTTCCACACTCACACCTCAAGTTCAAATCTCTGTTCTGAGCTTCCCAGTTAGCATCCCTTCGCCCACTTACCACTCCCGGCCAGGCCATGTAGGTGTCTCCTGATTTCTCCCCTCAGCCATCCCCTCCCTCCCTCATCTTCCCCACCTCAACAAGGGGAAAGGCTGCTTCTTCAAGCCCATCACCCCTGATATTTTCCTTCCCCTAAACCTTCTTATCTCATACACAAGGGAAAGTTCTTCTGGTTCTATTTCCAAAATAAAATCTTTATTTGTCCCCTGTCCCTCCATGAGCCACTATTCATTTCTCTCCTGAATTCCTTCAGTCACCTCTGACTAGTTCTCTGTCCTGCTCCTGCTCACCTCTGTGTCTAATCTCCAGAAAACATTCATCCAGTCCCATCCATACTCACTGCTGAAAATGCTTTTAACAGCTTCTCAAGGCACTTGAAGTAAAATAAAATCTAAACTCATAATTACCATGGCCTTCAGGGATATGTCCAGGCCCTGACACTCTAGAGGTGCCTGGCCCTCCAGCCCGCTATGATCCAGCCACAATGGCTGTCCTTTAGTTTCTACTCCACATCAAAGTCACCTCATTCTTCTGTTCTTAGGCAGCCCACTCCCCATTCCTCAAATGTTGGCTGAGAAAGGCCTTCCTCATTCACCAACATTCTAGCTGTGCCTGAGTTTTCTTCCTGCAATAGTTAAACTATAATCATTCTCTTCTCCCTTACCTCCAACCTAGCTATTCCAGGTGGGAACCATGTATTTATATCCAATATACCCAATATCAACACAGTATCTGGAACGTGGCATATCACCAGTTACTTGATAAAGAATGAGGCTGCAAAACCAACCTCATTTATTATCAAATCTATGTATTTTAAAGTGTAATGTCTCTTACTGAAAGGGTAGATATTTCTATGTCTTACATAGCTAAGAAAATAAAACTTGAACAAAAATTTCTGAAAGGGGCTGGGATTGTGGCTCAGTGGTAGAGCGCTCGCCAAGCACATGTGAGGCCCTGGGTTCAATCCTCAGCACCACATAAAAATAAGTAAATTAATTAAAGGTATTGTGTCCAACCACAACTAAAAAATAAATATTAAAAAATTTCTGAAAGATCCTACAAGGAAAAAATTTTACAAATATAAATTTCATATACGTATATGTAGACATGTATATTTGTTACTTATATCTATGTATATGGATTCAGTCTAAATTACATACAAATGGTAAATTTAGTTATTACAAGTAAATATGAGGGGCTGGGGTTGTGGCTCAATGGTAGAGTGCTTGCCTAGCATGTGTGAAGCCCTGGGTTTGATTCTCAGCACCACATATAAATAAAGGTCTGTGAACAATTAAAAAAGTATTTAAAGAAAAGTAAATATGAGAATATTTACTTTCAGTGAACTAACCCAAATAACAGTTTAATTTAGTCCAAAGTGAAAATATCAGAAGGGAAACTTGGAAAATAGTTTTCACTGCGTTGGAAAGGAAAAGGTACAATTTTAAATAGCAAGAATCAACCCAGAAAGCAAGGAATAAGTATAACGTGTGTGTGTGTGTGTGTGTGTGTGTTTCCACCTGCCAAGTTTGAAAAATTGTTACACAGTTAACATCAATGCAGTCCATTGAAACACTACTGGTTTTTTCCAATCTAATGCTTCTGTCAGTCTAATGAAAGTCTTCCAAAAAAAAAAAAGAAAAGGTTTAGAGCTGGGCATGGTGGCACACGTCTGTAATCCTGGTGGCTTGGGAGGCTGAGGCAGGAGGATCGCAAATTGGAAGCTAGCTTCAACATTAGCAAGGCCCTAAGCAACTTAGTGAGAACTTGTCTCAAAATAGAAAATAAAAAGTGCTGGGGATGTGGCTCAGCGGTTAAGCACCCCTTGTGTTCAATCCCTGGTACCAAAAAAGCAGCAGCAGCAACAGCAGCACACTCCTGTAATCCCAGTGACTTAGAAGGCTGAGGCAGGATGGCAACTCTGAGGCCAGGCGGAGAAACTTAGCAAAGTCTTTTCTCAAACTAAAATTTCAAAAGGCTGTGTGGATGTGGCTCAGTAGTTAAGTTTCCCTGGTACCAGAAAAAAAAAAAAAAAGGTTTGAGTAGGTGTTTCACAGAATCCCTATTTAAAAAAAATAAAAATCACAGTCAC